TCTACTCCTGCTCCTCACATCATTCCAGGTCACACTTCCCTACAGGTGCTCGCTGTTGACTCAAGGACACTTCCAGGCAGCAGAATATCAATGGGGCAGGGATGGACAGGCCAGCTCATCCTACACATTTTAAATTGCTTAAAAAGACACAGAAGCCTTTTCTCAAAGAGAGTCTGTGGCAGGGACTGAAGTCAGTGCTCAGCATGGGGCTTAGACAAACAGAGTGGTCATTAGTGACTGTTCTCATTGTCACACCGGTGCAGACTGTTAATTCAGCACAAGAGTCATTAAAAGCAAGCCTCAGTGGAGAGAGAGGTTTTTGTAAATGCCAGATGACTTGGCAAAAAGTGAAGAAGACCCTCAATATCCTGCACTGCTCTGCTTGTAAATTCAGAACAAAAACTCCCAGGAATTTGCTGGCAACAGGATTAGGCACTAATTATTTTCTTATGCTGAAAGCTGTTAAAACCCAACCCAGCTTTCCCTCACCCTGTAACCAAGATGAGCTCACTGGTCACTCCATGGGTCCCTCTCTTCCAGAAGAGTGTCACTACTCCCAGAGCTCTCCCTCTGACTTCGTTTCTGGGTTGAGAGGGTGGAATTAGCCTTGCACTGATGGATGGCTTTGGCACAAAGTTTGGGGATTATCCATGGACACTATCCCAGCCCTGCTCCAGCCCCAGGGCTCTAATTGCCTGTGAGCCCACAATTGAAGAGCAGCATCCACTCTGCTGCATGGCTGTCCCTTCCTTAGAGTTCCTCCTACCAGGTGCTTTTAATTTATTTGTATTTCCAGCAGCGATAATTGAGTTATCAATTTTGTGCTCTTTTGGGCCAGAAGCAGAGATCAGAGAGCTATTTTATGCACCTAATTATGGATTATTTCCCATAGCTATAAAACCACAGAGAGACAGATCCAGAAAATACGTCGTGAGGTGATCTGTGTCCTCTTCATCTCTACTGGCTTCTCCCTATTGCTACCTTAAACTCCAGGCTGAATGCCCTCCAGACAAAACTGTTGTCAAAAGCAAGGGATACCTATTTCCCCACAGGACAAAATCTCTTCTCGCCCCAGCAGAGAGCTGCTTAAAATGAAATTCAGCTTTTACTGAAACGATCTGTTTAAACCTTTAGCACCTCGTTGAGTCAGGCTGAGATTTATCCCATTTCTGTGCAATTTGGCTATAATCTGGCTCATAATGGTGACCCAGGGTCCTGCTGAGGAGTGAAGAATTTGATTTTCTTTCCCGCTAATGGTTTTTGGGGGGGTTGAATGGAATGATCCTTAAGGTCCTTTCCAACCCAGCCCATTCTGTGACTGTGAATTGGAGTGGCCCTTCATACCCCCCTTAGTTCACCACTCCCCTGGTCCAGGTTTTTTTGCTGCAGAGCCTCCCTCCATCCCAGGCAGGTCTGAGCTGCCTGGAGCATGCTGCAGTGCAGAGCCAGTGCTAAAGTCCAGCAGATCCTATTTTTATATTTAGGGAAAGAGACAGGAATCATCTGTGTGTCAGGATTGGGTTTCTGGTGGTGACATGAAGAGGCCATCCAAGATGTATGACCCAGCAAATGTACTGTAATGCACACATCACATTTGTTCTGTGAGTAAGTAGATATTGTCTAGGGTATATTACAGCTGTGCTTTGGTGTTTAATTTAATGTGAGTGAACTGCCTTAATTTCTCTAAATTGTAGTAATAAACATAATGCTAACAGTGATATTGCTAATAATTTATTTTGCAAGTGATTAATCAACAATGAACTATTTTAATTACCTGTTCGGGAAATGCCAAATTCTAAATTAATTATGTGTCATTATATGAATTCACATGTATAAATATATGCACTTATATATGAATTCCAAGGCTAATTAAAATGAATAAACCATCAGATTTGGTGAATTCATAGAGTTGAGGGAGGACGTGCTCTCCCCTGCTCTTCTGCCTTTTTGCATTTCATCCTCAGCACAAAGAGAATCTCATTCCAGTGCTTTATGCAAGTCGTTTGTGGTCCTAAAAAATATATTACCTGGAGAAAGTAGCAAATTCCCTGGATCCCAGCCTGCAAAGAGCAGTGTCGAGGCCAGGGGAGTGGGAAGTGGGAGCAGGGGAGGGAGGTGGGGGCTGCTGCATTTCCGTCTGTAGGAAAAGCAGAGTGTGACTCTTTGGGGTGATCTCTGTGCCAGACCTTGGAACTGCCTGGAAATAAACCCCAGTGGGAACTGGAATGGGGGAGAAGGAGATGATTCCCTACCCTCAGTTGTTACCAACCATTTTGGAGGGAAGTCAGGGAGTCAGTAAGCAGGTTTGGGGCACAACCAAAGAGTTTTCCTTTTCACCTGGGAGGAAGATGCATCTAGAGATGCTGCAAGGCACAAAGCTGTCAGAGTGGGGTATTTAGCAGTGGGATCACCCACAGGGGCCCCAAAATGAGGCTGGGCAGGAAGGGGAGACCATCCCTTTGCAGTAGGACTCAAGCTCAGAGCTCATGGCCGAGCCATCCAGCACTGGCCCAGCAGCAGCAGCAGTGGTCCCCAGGGGGATGGTGGCCCCTGTGGCACAGAGGGGCAGGGGAGGGAATCTCTAATTTAGGGGTGGGAAGTGAGACAGTTCTAATGGTTTGTAGCACAGGCTTGAAAACCAGAGTGATTAACGAGAGCAATGCCATGGAGGAACCAGAATCTAAGTAATGAGACCTTTATTTGATACATAATACCACTGGGACCTTCTATAAAGAGAATATCAGGAGAAGGGCTAAGTTTTGCTGGCTTGGGAATGCATCAGGAAGGGGGAGAGTATTGCTGACTCTGCAGTCAAATGCTGAGGCTGTGCACAACGGGGCTGCAGTGCTGTTCAACATGAGCCTGAGACATGTTAATTCAGTCATATATTTTCAAATGCTGGAGAGACACCCTGATTTAGTGTGCTGTGTGGATCTATGTAGAGTTGTGGGTTTAAAATGCAGTGTCCAGAGCCTGATTCCATCACCTCATGGCTGAACTCAGGCTGAGAGATGAAGAAGCCATTAGATACATATCAAGAACTTCCAGCCAAAAAATTACTTATGGTTTCAATTGAAGAAGAAGTTGTAGAGAGTTTAGGTATGGATGTCAGAAACACAGCAGTTAACAGCAGAGATGTATGAGAGATTGGGAGGTGATAACTTAGATAAATTGGTGTCTCATCCATATTAAGGAGACAGCTCATCCTCAGTTGCTGCCGGGTGACATGAACAGTGGAGCGTATATGGATACTAAAATACATTGGTCTTAAAGTTAAATCCCCAAGAACCATCAGAAATAAGTCTCAGAGGCCAAAGTGAGATTTGATGCACACTGCAAAAATATGCAGTCTGTCAGAGCATGCTGCTCTCTCCATATAACTTCCACCATTTGTGGGACAATTATAGGGAAAACAATACTGTGATCTGTAAAGCAGCTCCTGGAGTGGTTTTATTCACTAACTCAATGCTATGCATAATCATTGCCAGCAACATCTCCAGAGGTGTGTGCATAATAGAGAGACATCAAGTCAATGAGTCAAAACATCAGAAAATAAAATTCAGATGAACCTCACATTCAGAAATTATATCATCTGTCATTTAACACTGTCTGAAGACCTCCTTATTGAAATAGTACATCTAAACCCAAAGCTATCCCAGGCAGTAATGCCATACTCTGCTGCTGTGTTTAGGAAATACCAGGAGCTGGGGTTTTCTGCACCTTGAGCTGGCTGCCAGAGGGGAGCTAGGGTTATAAAATCTGTGGGGATCTTCAAGCTGAAGCATCCAAATGACTCATAGAGGGGAAACAGAGGGCACTGGGAGGGTCTGTTCCTCTCCTGTACCTGTCAAAGCCTGCTAAAGTGAGGAGTGGCATCGCCCATTTCCTTTGCTGAGCAGATGTGTACAATGATTTTCCTTTCAACAGCCAAATTTCTGGAAGAGAGTTTGTATCCAAATGCAAACTTAATTAGCCCTCTCTGACATTACACCTCACTGGATTAGATCTTTCATGCCTCCCATTCCAAAACACCCGTCGAGATAAGAAGTTACCCTTTTTGAAAATGCAGCCTTGGAAGACCTTTAACTCCCCTAACTAAATTCTGATCGTGCTGTTTTCCCAAAGCACCATGTACAGCATTGTCTCCGCACTGCAGCTTGAAAGGAACAATTCCCTGCGGATGCAGGTGCCCGCAGCCAGGAATATCTGCTCTGGGATGCTTTGGCAGGGGTAGCACAGCATGGGCCATGAGGCAAGGGTACATACATGTATGTATAAAATGTGCATGGCTGTGGATGAGCTGCACACAGGCAGGGGCAGGCAGGAAGCACCACTGCTGGATAATGAGCCCGAGCTGCTCCAGGGAGTGAGAATGAGCAATGAGCATCTCTGCTGGAAGCAAAATCAGGAACTTGGGTGAGCTTTGCTACTTAGACAACAAATCACTGGGTGTGCTGGAGGGTTCATTTTTCATTGGGAAACACCAGTGAAACGAGTACTTTGCTGCTTATCTCTTTATTGCTTATCAGTGCTTCTTTGCCCTTCATTTCTTGGAAAAGGCATGGTGCTTAAATGGGTTGAAGGGTGGATGCTGTGAAAGAGCTAAGCCACCTCTTTAATCCCAGAGGCTTCATCAAGGGTTCATTTTGCTCTCTGGGAAAATCTCTGCTTTCCCAGACCACTCTCCTCCCTCTCTCCACCATCCATCTAGGTTGCTTTGTCTGTATCTGAAGTCATGCTTGCCATCCTTTGAAGAGGTAGTCTCCTCTAAAAAATCAATAGTTAACATTGTCTTTAAATAGTCTGACATTTACCTTTACTGCAGTTTTCATTTCTTTCTGGGATTGCTCAGACATTTGTATTACCCGTGTACATTCCTTATTTCTCTGCCTGTAGCCACGGACCAGGAGCTTTGTAGGGATGGCAATCCTGGTGGGGTAACTCCCCGCCACAAATAAGGAGACTTTTGCAAGATAATTAAGAGGACTGGAGCTTGCTAATAGAAGCCTCTTTAATTTATGGAAGGCATCAACTGAGAATAATTACAAGCAAAAGGGTATCGTAAATCCCTGAAGAAAATACATGCTGAATGCAGTTTTCCCAACAAGCAAATTTGAATGCTAGCCCAAAGGTCAAAATAAAAGACTGTGAGCTTTAACCTCCTGAGCCATCCACCTTTCCTTTGGCTCTTGTCAGGAACTTGTCTGGGGCTTCATGTAGAAATCTGCCTGTTCAGAGCAGGGCCATTTGCAATCTGGGAAAGTTAAGCAAATTAGCAGAATTATTAGGTAAGAGGCAATTCTCCACAGCCTGCAAAGCAACTGCTTGTTAAATTAGCTCACACGGGAGAATTGCACTAATGGAATGATGGTTGCAGTGTTTGCAGAGGGAAGACTGTGCAGGCATTTCCTTTGAAATAACGCTGCTGTACTCCAGCTAAAGAATAAAAAAGGAGAGTTTGTGCACATTCCCTTGGCAGGCTCCCTGCACAAATATACTGTGGAAGATGCCTTTGTCTTTTAAACACGTTTCTTCTACTCAGTTCCTTCTGCAACAATAATAATAAAACTAATAAAGAAGAAAAACCCAACCCCCTCAAACTATCTACTTCTAAAAATAGGGAGGGTTGCAGGAGAACTGGTGCCATCATACCCCTGGAAGCAGGTGGCTCATTGCTCCCTGTCCCCTCTGGGACTTACAAGGACACCTGGGGTTTTGCAGCCTTGCTGTCCTGGGAAGACTGTGGGAATGTGGCTTTCGGCAGCAGAAACAGAGTTCCCCAAGAAGTCAAGGAGAGGGTGGCTCACCCATGGTTTCTGATCTGTCAGTCTCATTTTTATATACTCTTTGGTTATTGATTTGGTATTTTTATACCTTATATAGTGCACTTAGTACAGGAAAAAATGGATTCACCAAGTAAATGTGCTTTATTAGCAGGTCTCTTATGGAAAATTATGTCAGTTTTCCATTTAAAAGATGCATCAGATTAATTCACTCATGAATCAATCTGTCTATGTTGAAAATCTACTCACACCCCACATTAAATTGTCCAGTGACTCTGCAGGCTGGAGATCACAATGGAAGTTTTTAAATTATGAAAAGGTATTATTGTGAAGTTTTTTAGCACTTCTAAGACAGCAGGGAATGAAATGCTCATCCCCAAAATGAAGTGAGGATGTTACACCAGGCTTAGCTCCAGCTTCCCTAGCAGATGAATCTGTATCAGTTAAAGTCATTTGGTGGTTTTTTTCTTCTTTTTTTTCTTTCTTTCTTTTCCTGCTTCTTTCTGTGACCGATGGATGTCCCAGCTCAAAGGGCTGTCCCAGGTTTTGTCCTTCACAGGCTTTTTTTGGCTCACAGGGCCATGATCCTCACCGTGGAAAGATGGATTACACCTGTACTTTCCAGGTGATCCACAAAAGGGGGATAGAAATTAATTCCTTTCCCTGTGCTGAACAGAAGCTGCAGCATCATTCATTATTTGTTCATAAGTGAGTGCTGCACGGGGCCACCTCTTACTCCTGCCAGGATATCAGCTCATGGCTGGACACTGGAATATTTGGGAAACAGTTTCAAACCTCTCCCTCTCTCATTCTTTCCCCACTCCTGTCCCTCTATGCAGGAGAAAGTAGAAATCATGTCAGGCATTGCATAAAATAATTTATAGGATGGGAGGGCAGAAAGAGCTGGAGGCAGATTTTATCAGAGATGCTGAGAGATGTGAAGTAACTATCCCACATGGAATTGGAAAAGAAACCCTTGGTGCTGAGTTTCTTCAAGAGAAAGGCTGCCCATGCTCTGCCCCATCACTCAGTTACTCAACTCCTTGTAGCCCCCCTGTAGCAGATGCTGCTTCTCCTCAGCCCCATCTCTGTGGTGCAATCCCACCTTTCAGCCCCGGGGCTACATGTAGCATCTCAGTGTTTATTTTTGGTGTAGTAGAATAAAAGACAAGTGCTTAGAGCCAGCTCAGATCCCTGGGTGCACATCAGTATCACACGCATAAAGGCAAGAGCAGTTGAACGTTGAAATAGGAAGTCTCTCTTGGAATCATTCAGGTTGGAAAAGACCCCTAAGATCATCAAGTCCAACCATTAAATCCATATCAAATCCAGTCAGGCCAATCACACAATATAATTGACATGGAGCATCGACAAGCTGTTTTCTGTTGTCCCTCTGCTTGCTGAATACCCCAAAATGAGGGATTTCATTCCTTCTGAGGGAAAGGAGGACGTATCCACACCCCAGGCTGGGTGCTACTACAGCTCAGCAGTGCTGCAGGAGCTGAGGTAATGCATGAGGCCGCCGGGCTGCTGTCTGGCCACGTCAGACACAAAGGGAAGGACGTCTGCTCCAACCTCAGCCAAAAAAGGACACGTGGACATGGTTCATCTCCTGGCTGCAAACAGCTCGGGCTGTGCAGGCGGCCGCCGTCGTGCAGCTCAGAGGGAAGGACGGTGAAGGAGCAGCCCACATGTAGGAGCTGAGGGATCCTTCCTCTGCTCTCGCTTGGGTGTGCAGGAGATCCCATCATCCAGCCCTTTGTTCCTTTGGAAAACATGTGCAGCACATCCCGCTGTTTGTGTTTAATCCAAACTAATGTCCTACGGCTATGATAAGCGTGATTATGGCAGTCATTTTTAATTAGGGGTTGTGTCAATGTATTGACATTTTTATCGCTTTTGGGGGAAGTAGAGGATATTTTCCTGCAGGTGAACTCCTGTCTTCATGGTTCCCTATCCCTCCAGCTGCACTGCTTGCTTATTAAAAAATGCAATGTTATTAAGCCCATTCTCTGTGCAAGTTAATTAAGCAACTTACACAACACCAAATCCAAGGAATGCAGAATTCAAATTCCCTCCATCCTATGGCAAGATTTATAATCTTATCCTGAGTGCAACATTTATCATTAACAAAAGCCCTGGCAGGATCCAGGAAACAGAGTGATGAAGAGAATGCATTCAGTGTCTTGCTGGGAAGTGGAGTTAGACAGGAATGGCTCAAGCCACTCATTGCCTGCAGTGATGAACACCCTGCAGAAGATATTGTTCACACAGAAAGAAAAGGGAAGGCAGATCATTACATTTATTGGTCATTGCTTTTCAAGAGTCAATAAAGACCTACTGGAAAAGACATGGTTAGTAGCAGGAATATATCTTTTTTGTCTATCTCAAAAATACCTTCGGCTCAATGGCTTTATATAACACCAATGGAAGATCTGACTTCTGCCTGATATGTCAGGATGAATCTTCCTCCTGGGTGATGGTCCTGGTGTAGATAGTGCTCACATTGTACAGTTTTTAATGTCTTTAACCATCTTTAGCTTTGTATCCTGATTGCCCCTTCAGGCTATATGTCAATGCCATCTGGGAGGAAAAGAAGAGACTTCTGCTCACTCGCCGCTGTAACGCAGATCTCTTGACTAAAACTGTGCTTCCATCACTTAACAAACTGTCAGCACAGAACAATTATCTGCCTGTTGGCTTGCTTGTCCTTTCTTTTCTCCCCTCTCAGAAAAAAAAATTTAAAAAATAACAGAAAAACAGGTGAAGGAAAAGGATTGCCAGAAAAAAACTCCATGGGCAGAATCCAGCTGATCTGATCACACCACCTGAGACACTTGGAAGATCAAAGGCAGAAGTGGGTCCCTTCTTTGCCACCTCCTCTTCCTATGCTTGACTGGTGAATGCTGTCAGGTCTTTGGGACAGAGAACGTGCCTGGTTTTGTCTGTCTTAAGTCCTGTACAAATATGGATATTAAAGTATTAGTGTATTTAGGCTGATGTGTTCAGCAGCTCTAGATTATGAATTGCTCCTCAAAATAACGTTTGCATTCGCCGACAAAGGTCTTTATTACAGAAGAGGGTCAAGCAAAAAGGATTATTCTTGCTAATTATTCGCTGTTATTTAATATTTGCACAAAAGGTTTGCAGGACTGAGTCCTCAGGATTGCCTTGTTTGAGAAGCTAATAGGGTTTCCAGGAAACCAGCAGTGTCTGGTGAGCCATCAGAGCAGCCTCTTAGTGGATATGGGAAACAATTAGATTTGATGTAGTTAAGGTTGGTTGGCTAAAGGTTTCTAATGACTTAGCCAGGACCTGATCCTGGGATTTTCAAAGTCAGTGGTAAGACTTCCACTCAGAGCTGTGCTTTATGGGAAATCAACTGACGCAGATCCAATTTTCAGACCATGGATGGGTTCAGGAGCTGGGCAGCTCCTGGCTGCAAAGGGCAGACATCACCGAGCTCCAAACCCTGCTGTTGCCTCAGGAAGGATTTGGGAGTGAGCAGGGCTGAAACACAAATTGGTGGGAAGGATACTTACAATGTTTTGGCCTATGCCTTACGTTTGTTCCTACACATTATCAGTCCCTAGAGAGCTCCCCTGAAGTCTACCTGCTGCCTTCTTCTTGGGCCTCATATTTCCTTGACTAGACCATAATGGCTGTATTGTTATAGAAATTCCATGCTAAGTGAACTGAATTTCTTGTTCCATAAAGACATAATTAGGCAATAAAAACACAGCCAGAAATCTTCAAGCATGGGTGCCTGAAGGTGGGATCCACATTTAGGCATTTAAATGCATGGCCCAACTTTTGGGATCCCTGTGTATTCATACCTTTTCTTGCTTCCAGAGAGCTGGAAGCTTCCCTGCTATTCAAGGTGGCTTTGGGGGTACCAAACTTCTTTAAGGAAAAAAAAAATTCATTTACCTTCCCTGGTTTTATTCAAGTTGCAATGCCTCCAGCTTCCCCATTTGACATTTTTTAGTAACTTAATTATCATTACCAAGGAAGAATGTTAATCATGGTGTTGTTTAAATTGGATGCAGCTCTGGGGAACAAGAGAAAATAACCCAGATTGTGGGAGCAGGCGGGAGGAGCATGGTATTTTGGAAACCCAGGCCACAACCTGCTGGAAGCATCTGTTTCTACTCAACCTTTTCCTCTAGAGTCCCAACATCATTCACAGCCCAGACTGCCAGCAATCAGGGACTTGCGCTGAGGATTTCCCTTCCCCTGTGCTTTCATCCCAAGGATGTTCAGGAATCTCAGGACTGGCAGTGACAGCTTTGAGGTGGTTTGCCTGGACAGTCAATTGTGCCTCAGCAGATGCCTTTGCTTGATGCTTCTGAGATGGGAATTAGAAATTGGGATTGAGTAGTGCACACAAACCAGCACGGATAATTACAAAGCAATTAATCATCCAGGACAGATAATGTGTCAAGAGGTGACTCAGAGTCACAGAGGTGGTGGCCACTTGGCTGTTTTGCCAAGGGCAGAGTGTGCTCTGAGGCTTCGACTGGAAAGCAACAAGCACCCTCACTACCCACAGCTGCAAACTTCTTTTCCTCTATTTGCAGGCAAAAACATCAACAAATGCATTTTGCATTCCCTGCAATCTTCTATCAGGCCAGGCCAAAGCCCTTTGGGGTGCATTGTTGGGTGCTTAGAAAGATGCTGCAGCTGTGAAGAGAAATAAATTTAAAAAATAGAACCTGTAATTTCTTTTACCCGTTCCTAAGAAATCGCTTGGTGGCAAGAAGGAAAATATGCCTGATCTGACTGAAGTATATGGGAAAAAAACCCACATGTAGACTTCAGTAGGATATCGACATGGATGTTTAGGCACTGTTAAAGTGCAGAAAAATGAGCCAGCAGGATCGAGTAAACACTATTTTCCTTTTAGCTGAGGAAAGGCAGTCCTGCAGTAACATTGCTCCTCATGTCTTTGCCTTTTAAATACCCAGTGACATAAATATTAGATGCATGTTAAGCCTCAGATCCATCAAACGACTCCTTATCTTGAAGCACATGAATACTCTTGGTCCTAGTAGGAACACTTAAATGGTACCTAAAGGACCACGGATGTGAAATGAAGTCAACCTAATTTCTAGCGTGTGAAAAGAGACAAATCTCTGCACACTCTCATGCCAGGGGTTAACTTGGGCCAGGTGTTGTTAAGAAGTAAAGACATGAATAATCTCCCATCAGACTTTTGCATCCAAATGGCTCATTAAAGCTGCAATATTCATAGCTCGTGAGAGTCCTATAGATTTACGATGGCTGGGAAAGGATGACGCCCAGCTTACTTTCCCACCAATCATTATTACACGGGAAAGTGAGCGATTTTCTTTAACTCCATTAGCATAACATTAGTGCTTATAAGGACCAGACTGGAGTAGAAACTTTATAAGTCCTTTAGGTCAACAAAGTCAAACAGAGGACTCTTTTTTTTAGGAGCACAGCTTATATCTCATTAACAAAAAAACCCATTGTTGGCTAGTGCAGACCGTGGATATTTGCAGTTTGGGCAGTGAGGAAGCAGTTGGTATTCCCAACCCCTTCCCAGCTCTGGCAGCCCTCTAACAGCTGATTTCTCCACTAGAGCTGTTGAAGGAGCATCTCGACGCATGGTACAAAACACAAGGAGGGAACTTCAGATTAAAACCTTTATTCTTCCCTGCAGCAGATGAAACACTGAGGCACGGGGCTCCTGGGTGGGCATGAGCAAACACATATGAAAATGCACGGCATTTGCAGTGGGAACACACTGGGTTACAGCTGAGATCAATGGAGGAGGGTGATAGGGATTATCAATCTTGAGTGGTCTCCCTTAGGCAGAATTGACTGGCAACCACATAATGACTCAGGCTCAGCCCACCAGTTTAGAGCCCGAGTGATAGATCTGTAGATGCCAATCATCATCATTTCCTTATCAGCAGTGTTCAAGTGGCCATTTGTCTTCTACCCGAGCCGCCCTGGTCGGGTTCAAGTTTTTCATCCTCCAAGGTGCGTCTGAGAGATCAATGCACAGCTACAGCTGGTTGAAGGGGACCAAATCCATTGAAGAGGTGATTTGGTTCCATTTTACCAGCTTTAGCAAAGCATTTGGCCTCATGGGCTGTGGCAGCAGAGAAGAGAATTCCTCGGGGTCTTTTCTTTCCCAGCTGCCTGGACCTCTTCTGAACTTGCTGCCTGATGCCGCACTGGTTCAAATGGCTTCACTTTCAGGCAGTCAGGATTTATTTAAGCTTCTTAGAGGCTACAGCTGAAGAGTGGGTCTGAATTAAAGAGGCAGGTTGAACAGCAGTGGAATAGTCTGCAGCAGTAACCATCAGCCTGAAGCGTTTTTAAACTTGATATTTGGCTCTGTCTGTTTTGAGAGCCACGTTGCTATTACAGTGTGACATAAGTAAATGTTAAGCTACTGTTTTAATCCAGATGCTTTAATTATCACCTCCTGCCTCCTTTCCTTTCAGTGTTTTATGGTGTGCTGTCCTCCTCCATGCCCTGTTTTGGTGTCTGAAGTGACACCTAACACGCAGCAGCACGGATGTCGTCTGCTACAACCAGCCCAGCCCACAGCCAAGGAACTCAGGCTGCAGAACTCTTCTCCCCTCAGGGCTCTCCTTGAAAAATGGGAGGGAAAAGGCTGGAACACCTGAAATCTTTTTTTAGAGGTTAGCAAACTTTGCTTCCCTACTGTGAAGCCTCCTGTGTTTTCTCATCTGGCATTAAAATCAGCATTTTCAGGAGGTTTAAGGCCTGTTCAAGCAATGGTTGTTATTTGTCATCACCAGAAACCAACAGCAAAGTGATGGAAAGGAAACAAAAGGGAGGAATGAAAGAAAAAAGAAAAAAGAAAAAAAAGCTTTTCTTTTTTGCAATCTGATAATCTGGCAATTTGTCCCCAAATGGGGAAAGCAAGTCCCTGCTCCACCACTGCTGTCCAAGTCACTCCTGTGATGGTTCACATCTCAGCACTGGGGTGTTGATTTCTCCTGGAGAGCCCTGCAGCACGAACACCCCACTGCTAAAAATAACCCAGTAAATCAAATTTAAAAATCACAGCAGCTCCGATCATTTCTGCAGTGGGAGCCAATAAAGTGAGGCCTTTCCTTCTTAACCCGGAGCCACGCGCAGATATTGCACATTGCCATGTGCATAACCTATTTAAAGAATTTATATGCGTCATAAGGCAAAGGTGACTTTTCCCCCCTCTCCCTCGCAGCCCACCATGCTGCAAGATGATACCAGGGAAAAGCACCTGTGCTTGGAACCTCTGCACGCAGAAATATTGCAAGTGGGCCAGCATTTCTTCTCCTGAAGAATTACAGGCTTCGCATTGTCACGGTAAGCACTGCAGATCACTTAACTGCCCAAACCCGTTACTCTAAGCTGCCTATAAATAAATGGAGAGAGAGATGGAGAGAGAAAGGGAGAGAGAATAGCCTTTTAAAAAGAGCTCTACAATTAATTTAATCAAGTTATCTGTAGGTACCTTTTCAAGAGACAATCAAGCCAAGGAACTAAATGGAAACTTAGGCAGTGAAGACCTGGAAGTATTAAATTCATCCTTTGCTAACTTACAGGAGGCAAAGGAAAGTAATTATTTGCTGGTGATTTCCCACAGGTGGAGGTGCCATTAGTGACCAAGGCTGTACAGAGCTAAGTCCTGATGGGCACATGGATTTTGGGATAGAGTGCATCAAACTGCCTGAGCATCACACCTCAAACACAGTCTGCTCCCCAGGTATGTGGGCACTGTCCCAGCCCTGTTGATCTGGGGTCAGTCCTCTGAAAGCAGCACTGTGGGAGAGAGATGTGGGGTTACACTGAGCATCTTCTGCTGGGGACCAGAGTTGTCCCCACTCCCCCTTGCTTTGCTTTGGGGAGTGCCTTGGAACATATTTGAAATCAATGTGAGTCAGCGTGGATGTTCTATAACATTTTGTTT